AAAGCTACGACATGCATCGCTTTGCTATTATGCCTGACTTGGTATGGACAGACTCATTTTTACCGTGACCCTGGTAGTGTCTTCTTCGATAAAGCACGAGCATACGAGACACGGTACTCGGAACATCGGAAAGCTGAAGTTGAGAAGCTAATAAACTCGTATCCGGAGCTAAAAAAGCCGGCCCTGGGCCAAGCACGAGATGGAAGCAAACTTCTCTGCATAGCACTCAGTTCTGTGAAACGTGAGACGCATTACCTCCCCGTAAGTTCTACGCAAGATAGATGACTATGCTCAAGCTCATTGGGATAACAGATGACAATAGGGAGCATTGTACACGGCCTTTCTAAGGAAGAGCGAAACGACCTCCATATATCCATCCTGATAGCGGAAACCGATCCAAGACGCCATCCCGGCTGGAACCACCAATGGCTAAACCATGCAGCCGACGACATCTTCACCTACGATGTCAACGATACGCAAACGAAACATCTGAGCGACCTTGAGCAAAGCGGAAAATATCAGGAAAAAGGCGTATTCGATTATACTTACGCCCTCGAACGATGCTACGCCACTGGCGCATTATACGTTGGCATGTTTGAGGATGACATTATTCTTGCTGAGGGATGGTTTATGAGAATTCTGCAAGGACTGTCAGAGATATCTGACTCTGGCAACTGGCTCTTTATGCGTCTTTTCAACCAAGAGAGATCAACAGGGTGGTCGAGTCGGGAGATTGGCGGAAACAACGAATTCTTGATAATCCTGGGCATCGACATAGGAATCGCAGCCTCGGTGTGGCTTGTACGTCGACATTGGCGAAGTTCACGGAAGTATCTTGACATGGAGACACTCGCAGTGACAACCTTGATACTGGTACCGGGACTGATAGTACTGCTGTATCAGTCGGGAAAAGCGTCATTATTTCCCCCACCCCCAGGAGTTTTCAAAGAACCTTTCGGATGTTGCTCACAGGCAATGATTTTCCCGCGAGCTCAGGTGCCTTTAGTGGTAGATAGCCTGAAGGAGAGGAAGGAAGGGCAGATAGACTTGATGCTCGATGAGATTGCTTCGAGCAATGGTCTTGATAGATATGCTTTGTATCCAGTTCTGGCACAGCATATTGGTGAGTTTACCTAACGGCGTTGAAGACGGCTAGCTAACAACTTTCAAGGAGTCGATTCAGCAAGGAAGACAGCAAAAGACGAAGCACGAGCTATCTGGAGCATGGCCTTTGAAAACCACAACCCCAAAACTCTCAAGAAAGAGCACAACAAACTCCTTGAAAATTACGAATTGTGGCGCGAGAAGGTGGAGCAAGATACTATTGACTCTATGTATCTCGATGAGCTATCATAGTCTTTACCAGGTAATAAACTTAATCATAGAGTGAGGTTTCCTCAAATAGATAAAACTTGATTTTGGTATCACCTTTCCTTGTCCACTTGTGGCAGCTCTTCACTGATGCCAATAGTGATATGTGTATGCACTATATCGCTTGGAAGCGCAAGGCATTTGGTAATCAAATAGCAGCTGCAAGTTTCAAACATCTCGAGTAGGTAAGTGTAGGTTCGCCGGCATTGCCTAGGCAACGTATGCAAGTTTTGAGGATAGGATGATAGAGAAAGAGACCGCCGGCGAACAATTATACTGAAATTTTTGCCGTAGAAGACCTTGTTTACTCATCCCGTAACTCGGTGTGTTTCGATGACTTCACCTTCGGAGCATTTATAGACTCGCCGAGTATATCGACTAAGAATAAGGTTACTATTATGCCTGTGCTGAATTATCCGCCGGTGATTTTAAATCACGCCAATAGGGCGAATGAAACATCTAGCATAGACAACAGGCAGACTCCGGTGTTTCATGATCCAGAACAAGCAAAGACTCATTTTCAAAGGATGAGTTTCATAAAAACCAACAGAAAGGTTGCGGCTGATCGGCTCATGCGCCAAGAATGTCACTTCGATCAACGGCTCCCAAAGAAGTAACTGCTTCATGCTGCTTCGTCTATGAGTGGATAGTCCGTGCCAGATTGATATTTTAAAGTTTCGCCTTGCTGGACGGAAAAATTACCATGTTGCAAGCTAGCCTGTCAAAACGAGATACGGCGATCATTCCCTTTATAAACAATAGTACAAATCTTTGCTTAAGATGGCGGAATCTGCCTTGTCTTGAAGAGGCTTCTACTTTCCTGTTCCAGACGCTTGGCCGTTGTCAAAGTGGATGAACTCCACAACTGTTGGATCGTGGAGTTGAGGCTAAAATGACGGTTATTCAGCATCCCACTTCTTCGCGGTCAAGATGGGATGGATAGTGGAGTATGGGATGTTGGCGATATGAGAAAGTGAATTGTATCATTCATGCAATCAATGAGGCTCTTCAACGTCTGGATCAGCTATTTGGGAGAACCAGGGTTTGAGTATTAGAAACAATCAATCAAGGTTTATTGATATCATCAGAAAAGATCATGGGAGCAAAAGAAACGGACTTTAAAGAGTTCAACAATAGACAAGGCGAGTGCAATTCTGATACCGGCGATGCTCGTAATTGCCTAGTCCAGACTAACAATAAATCCTCGGCGAATATTTCCTCATGCTCTCCTTGATTTGATGGATCTTATCAATCTGATCAAGGCATCAACCCCCACGACTGTCGCAGGCTAGATCCGAGAAGGCATAGCAGTGCCCACTCTTCATTAACCTCAGGGCATGAAGCTCCACCAGCAAACTCAAGGACATGCCATAACCGAAGTCTTGTCCGTGGATGTCTTGGGCCAAGTATTTACATTTATCCAGGCGTGTTTCCTCTTTCTGTTGGTTCTGATGTTTTGGCTCTTCTTTCACTCATTAACTCACTCTTTATTCTCTTATTAGCCCAGGTGCTACATTCATTCGTTACTAGAACCTCCGGCAGGTAAATCCGTTCATTATGCGTACTTCAACTATCGTTGCCTCTCTGGCGGCTGCCGTCTCCGCCTACGAGCCCTGGCTCAACGAGCCTGACACTGGTCTTAACACTTACCTCGCTAGCACCAACTGGACCGAGGGCAGCCGACCTCTTCTCAAAGATATCCGTGGTGTCCCTGACTTTGACTTTGCTGCCCGCCAAGTCTTGACTGATCAGCAATACGCTTTCTATCGTACTGCTGCTGCGGGAGAGTGGGCCTACCGCAACAATCTCAAGGTATGGGAGAAGGCTCGACTTCGACCTCATCAACTCGCCAGCGTGAAGGGCCTCAACGAGACTCTTGGTGTTACTGTCCTAGGTCATAACTTCAGTGCTCCAATTTTCATCTCACCTGCCGCTCGTGCTGGCTATGGTGACTCTGACCGTGGTGAGCTCAACTTTGTTGACGCAGCTGCTGATGAAGATATTCTCTATGTTGCTGCTCTCTATGCCACCAAGACTATTGAAGAGATTGGAGCTCAGCGCAAGAAGCGTGGCAACACCATCTTCCAGCAGATCTACTCCAATGCCAACCTCTCTGTTACTTGGGATGCCATGAAGCGTGCTGAGGACCAGGGTGTCAAGGCTTTTGTCTGGACTATTGATGCCCCTGCTACATCTACTCGTCACCGAGCTGCTCGCTATGACACCACCAATGCGTATGTTCACCCTTATTTAACACCAAAATCAACTAACAAGCTTCAGCAATGGTGCCACTTCTGTTCTAAGCTGGGATCTTTTCAAGGAGATCAAGTCTCATACCAAGCTTCCCATCATTCTCAAGGGTATCACCACCACTGAGGATGCCCTTCGCGCTGTTGAGGCTGGTGCTGATGGTATCTGGCTCTCGAACCACGGTGGTCGTCAAGTCGACTACTCTCCCTCTCCCCTTGAGATTGCATATGAGCTTCGACGCAACGCCCCTGAGATCTTCAAAAAGACCGAGGTTATCGCCGATAGCGGTATCCGTTACGGAAGTGATGTGATCAAGCTGTTGGCTCTTGGAGTCAAGGCCGTTGGTCTCGGCCGTCCGTAAGTTTTCATTTCATTAACTGCTTAGGAAATTTGCTGACATTCTTCAAGTTTCATGTACTCCAACGTCTATGGCGTGGAGGGCCCCAAGAAGCTTATCCAGATTCTCAAGACTGAGATTCTTGCTGATGCGGCTCAGATTGGTATCACTGATCTTCACAACATTCCTTCCAAGGTGGTAAGTTTAGTCAACTATTAGGACGGAGACCAGTCTAGCTAACAAATATAAGCTTAATACTCGTGCCCTCGAGCGCGATGTTTATCTCATGGACGAGAACTAAGATGTCTCGCAGCCCTAAGAGACGCATCTATGATATTTACATGTATATATCTTTTAGTAGATAAATATCTGGAATTGAAAATTGCTCTGATCGAGGTACTCGTAGAGTCGTAGTTCTCTGTTATTAGTCAAAAATTGCTAGCCCAGTTGATTGGCCAGGATACTGAGCTGCATGGTGGCTTACTGGCTATCATGTGCTACACTCTAGACTTTCACTTCTTAAATTAACGACTCCCTGTCTCGTGTCTCCCAGAAGCACAAAGAAAATCGCGCAAGAGGCGCTAGCCATGGAGGGCAGAACCTCTGTTGAATTGAGGTGCCATGTTTGCCGTCGCATACCATGGAACCTTGAAAAATGGCAGTCATCGGCTGCTATTCAGCATCACGACTCTTTCGAATCCCTTGAGGCCTCATCAGCCAGAGGTTGTTATCTTTGTCGTAGTTTTCGTGCTACGGTATACTATAGTCTCGGAACCATGGGCCTGAAGTCTCCTCCAGCAGGTCCCTGTTTCCTATGGTTGCCCACCAAGAGTTACATTGGCCTATCCAGAAGAGGGGATAATTTCGATGCGGTAATTGGCCTGTAGTCTGCAGATTCTATGTTGGAGATATCCTGTTTCTCCTTGCTATATCCGTACATGTCGTCAGAGCTGACGAAGAGGACGCGGTAAGTTAATGTGATTATTCATGGCACTCTCAGAAATTAACAGAACAACAGAACGCTGCTCCAATATCATTAGAAATGGCCTTGGGACCTAATCTAAAAGATGAGCTTTGTGATCAAATTCACGATTGTATCAATAAACGCGGCGTTCATCAAGAATGCGACGTTGGGTGGTTTCGTCAAGATCTCAACCCAAACCCACCAACACGCCTCATAGAGGTCGATACTAACGACCCCAGTATCGTCAGACTCATTGTAACCGCCGAGGATTTGCGCAAAGACCTAGTGCCTAAGTATCTTACGCTCAGTTATTGCTTTATCTTACGCTCAGTTATTGCTGGGGCTCTACCAATGAACACGCCAAAACTACCAGAGCAACAATAGCTGCAAGGCGCGAAGGGATCTCAGTACATGACCTCCCGAAGACTATACAAGATGCTATCCAACTCACACGGCTATTGAAGTTTCGATACTTATGGATTGATGCTATATGTATCATTCAATCAAATCTTGGGGATGCGTACCTTGACGATTGGAATACAGAAGCACCGCGCATTGGATCATACTACCTACATTCTAAATGCCTCATCTCGGCGTCCGCTGCATCGGACAGTAGCCAGGGGCTTTTTGTTGAGCAGACTGCCCGAAGGTATCCTCTGAGGACGTGTGCACTGGCTTTCAACAATGACAAACAAGAGTATATCTGTCTTTCTGTGCCACGTCCATCTCCTTCAGAAGATTGGTCCGCTGAGCCGCTGGGATCAAGAGGATGGTGCTTACAAGAGGCTGTTCTGTCACCTCGGATCCTGCATTGGTCCAAATATGCTCTGATATGGCAATGTAACGGCACAAAGAAGAGTCTTACGTATGGAAGTGATTTGGACACCGCTCAAGACATCAGAGCCAGTCGGTCGCATATCAGCCTTGCCCAAGAACCTGATAGTGCAATGGGCGACGCATGGACAGAGCTCATATCTAGGTACTCTAAGATGCATTTCACCTTCGAGACTGATCGACTCGTTGCAATTCAAGGCTTGGCTAACCGACTTGTTGACCTTCATGGTGGCGAGTACCTTGCCGGAGTATTTCGTTCACACCTTGCTGATGGGTTGCTATGGAAGAATTCGTACGACAAGGCTCACAACGCACTGACCGGAGTACCCACCTGGTCGTGGGCTACAAGGTGCCTCAATATCTGGTTTCTTCCAGTCTCACATTCCTTCATACGGTTCGCGAAACCAAATGTCTTCCCGGACAACCACGGCCCCATAAATCTCGACACTCCTGAGAAATGTGCTCTTCGATTTGAAGCTCCACTGATCAACATAAACCTAGGAAGGCCGTTCACGGAAACCGATATTGTTTCAACAGTGCAAAGGCCTGTGTTTGCATGTCATGTAAGCTTTACAGAAGACAGTGAAGATGAGTACGCCGTGAATTTCGAATACGATGCCGAAAGCCTGATGCCTGAAAGTTTTGAAATACTAGAGGTACTTTTCCTCGGACTGCACGCGCTTCATAAACAGAGAGGATATATTGGTCCGAGTGAGTTCGAAGAATCAACTGTCGTTGATCCTGATACTATAGTATCATGTGAAGGGATTCTCTTGCGAAAGGCAGGTCAATACTATGAACGTGTGGGGAGACTTGATTTTGACATGCCCAAGAAATACAAACGACGGATAAGGTTGAAAGAGCTGATGGACAGTAATAGAGCGAATGTTTATCTTATATAGGTAGCTTAATGTTATATTCGGCTTGACATAAGGACATGATGTTTTCAGAAGTTAGCTCGATGTCGTTCTTTTCTTAGGCCGGAACTTACCGTGTCCTCTAACAGAAAGAACAGGGCGGAATTCCTGACATCATAAGAATGGATCAATCTCATTTCAGCCTCGGATTTTCATTTCGTCAGAGGCTGTGCGAACTTACAGCCCCATATCGAGGTAGAGCTGAGGCTCTGATCTAAACCCATTTGGGCCTCATGTTGCGATACCCTTGTAAAGCCAAGAACTACACATCAGCATCTGACCAATCAGACAAAGCGCAGCATGCTACCAAGTTAAGTAAGGTCAATATCGCCTCGACGAAGTCAGAGTCTCTGTATAACTCTGGACTTGTCATTGGCTATTTACTGGTATTTTGGTGTCTGAGCCACTGAGAATAGGCGAAGCTTGGATATTTAATGCTTGGTGATCTTGACAGCGGAATTAAGCTTGTTTACTATGTCTTGGCTTCTAAGCATAGACGAAGGCGATGACATGGTCAAAGATGAGGTGGCTGCTGTATAAATAGCTCTAGCTCTTCCCGAATCTCGATTATGTTACGATATCATCGGCCATCATCATGGTTTCCTACAAACTTCTTACAATCGCTCTCTACGCGGGAGCAACACTCGCGCTTCCACAATCTAAAACCGCCAGTAACCCAACCGCTACCATAGACAATGGTATCATAATCGGAACCTCAACGTCCATTCCTGATTCCAAGCTCAAAGTCAATCAGTTCCTGGGAATCCCCTTCGCCGAAAAGCCTATTCGCTTCAGTCCCCCAAAGCCAGCCAAACCATGGGATTCTCCCTACAATGCCACCGTATACAAGCCCGCTTGTTTTATGAAGTTCAACTATCCTGAAGAACGACGAAATCAAACGATTGAGATATTTGCTACACCTGGACCCCCAGCTGGGACTAGTGAAGATTGCCTGAACTTGAACATTTATGCCCCTGCAGGTGCAAAACCCGGTTCAAAGCCTGTTGCGTTCTGGATTCATGGAGGAAGCTTCAGTCATGGATCTGGATCTTTGCCTTACTATGAAGGATCCAAGATGGCGGGCTATGAAAACCTGGTTGTTGTTACTGTAAATTACAGGACCAATATCTTTGGATTTCCTGAAACCTACGATTTGCCTGAGGGAGAGTGGAATCTTGGGTGAGTGAGACCTCGCATCCCAACCATATTTCCTTACTAACATGCACCAGTTTCCTTGACCAACGACTAGCCCTTACCTGGGTGCAAGACAATATCGCTGCCTTTGGAGGAGATCCCAAGAAAGTCACCATTTTTGGCGAAAGTGCCGGTGCTGGAAGTGTTGATGATCTTCTCACGGCTCCACCAGATCCTCTCCCTTTCCGCGCGGCTATTCTGCAGTCGGGTTCTGCCTCAACAAACGTTACGCCCACTGGCTCTTGGAAGAATGCAACCAAGCTAGCTGACTGTGACAAAGGTGACTTTGATCAAGTCCTCAAGTGCATGCGCGGGATCCCAGCTGCCAAGCTTAAGGATATCATCGAAAGGGGCATGCTCGATTTCGCACCTCTCAGCGATGACGGGGTCACACTATCAAACTATCCCCGCGACATCCGGCTCAAGTCAAAGAACAACCCAAAGCTCATGGCCCGAGTTCCTGTTATGTTGGGTACAACAGCAGATGAGGCCAAAATCCCCAATTTCATGAACATCACCGTAAAGGATGCTCTGAAAACCTTGGCCCCGGGGATAAGTGACTTCCAAGTCTCGCTCCTCAAGTTCCTCTACCCCATCGGATCTCCCGGAATCAACAACGAGTTCGACCAGGTTACCAGAATGGCCACTGAAATCGGCATGCAGTGTCCCATTCGCTACGTCGCGGAAGACTTCGCTGAGGCAGGCACAAAGACCTGGCGATATATCTACAACGCTAGCTTTTCCAATACTGAGATCTTCAAGGGCAGTGGAGCATACCACTCTGCAGAGATTCCAACTCTCTTTGGGACTTTTCCCGAGAAAGATGCTACCGACTTTCAGGAGAAGCTAAGCAGGGAGATGCAGAAGGCTTGGGGCAAGTTCATCAGAGATCCCACTAATGGCCCTGGGTGGGAACAAATTCCTAAGATTGGTGTCTTTGGAGGCGGCGTGGGACCTGATACTGCCAAGGAACGAGTCAAGGCATTGGATGTTAGAAATACGAACATCATTGAGCCAAGATGCTTAATGTTCAAGAGCATATGGGAGAAGGGTCAGACAAAGGAGTAATGTCATTGTTTGTAGGCCACATTCGTACAAGTTAAGAGGTTGTTGACTTTCATTGAAACAGTTCCACTAAATTTGCGTGTTTATTTGTATATCCATCTTTATGTCCAATGATTTTACATCGGCCAGCTGTACATAAAGAATCCAGACAAAATCAGGATTGCACGCGGCCTGTAATGCATGGCTAGTGCCTGGCCGTATACACAAAACACTTATCCTTATCACTTATCACTATTTTGACCTAGCACAGCATCATTCGGTACCAGCTCTTAATAAGCAGTGACGAGAGCTCCCATACGCCTCTATTCTAGATCTTCACTCATACTGAAATCATTGATTGGAAACTGAGTTTTCGCATGAATTACAATCAGAGCCTTTACCGATTTATTTTCCTGTTCCACATCTGTAAGACCTTGAAGGAGTCGTGGGTCTCCTTGTTTGAGCATGTCCTTCAGTAAGCGGAATGTAGTAACGGCTAGGTAGCTTGCGTTGGCTTGCTCTGATAGACCTTTAAGTGCGAGGACGAGTGTTGACTGTAGGGCTTTCTTGGCCTCCAGTGATCGTTACTTGGCGGAGGATATTGTGCCCAGTGTCATGAAGCCGAGGAGAATGTGGTACTGAAGTATGAACGGTTCAATAACGTGTCGGAGGTAGTATAACCGTGACACTGTCTCGAAACGCATATTGGTATCTGCAACGACATGATCCGCGCCGAAGACCCTGGATAGTTGCCAACGAATCTCTACGACTCTCGAGTCCCCGAATCCTTCTAGCCTTAGCTAAGAACTGGTACTGCAGCGCTTGAGGCTTCCTAAACTCTGTGCGGTATGCAGTTTTGGTGTATACATGCTATAGCCGTCAGCTAAAGTGTGCATCGACGTACTTCAGCAGACGCATGCTCCAGCGAGGACTACATTGACGAGACACGATGAACAAAGGTTGTCGCGACCAGCGGCTATGTCGTCTAAGAAGTGGTCCTTGTGGAAAAAAGAAGTACATCTTGAAAAGCCCTCATAGCAAGTTCTCGCTCGCTGGAACTATTATCCATTGCGAATGCCTCAGTGTATCGATGCGCCGCTCTATCGATGTAGCAGCCTGATGCGGTGCCGTGTTTTGAGATTGGTGACCGACTGTTCCCGCATTCAATCCAGCATTCGAGCTACCCGCCGCCGCATCCTCATTAACCATCTCATAGATACGAGATTAGAAGTAAGAAATATTCTCGCTACGCAAGTAATGGGGTATTTCAGGGCAGAATGTGAAGCTATATCAATGCCATGTTTGGGGAACAAGTTCTCGGTGGGAGAGCAGTCGCACAGAAGGCCGCGCTTGATACAGACGGTGGACCGTGGCTCTTGGCCATCGCACAGTTGGTGTTACAGCCCAAACAATTCACCCGCTCAAGATTTCGATATGTTTACTCTCACTTTGCGTCTCTTGCAGGCTAGACAAGCGGTGTCGACGGTCTTCCTCTGGGGAGGCAAGTGTGTTTGAGAGTTGCCCATGCTTCCATTGCGAGGGCCCACGATTCACAGTTGCCCGCCCTTGAGGGTCCATTCGATGGCTCAGTGTTTGGAAGGACAGTTATCAGGTAAGCAAAGGTACTGATCGAGCTGGCCTTTCGCTCCTCCAGCAACATTATCGGCCCGGCTGATGCGCAGGTGCATGGTTAGGTGGTACCTATTTACACAAGCCTCGGTGTCTCACTTCAATGACATCAATTGGTGCAGCTACGAAAGAAGAGGTGACTGGGCACCGACCGAGTGGCAGTGACAGTAAAGTTTATGGCGTCATGGTAGGCTTCTAGAATGAAAGAAGGCCTCCCAGTGGCGTGCTAGCAAAGTAGCCTTAATGATAATATCTAGATATGGATGTTCAACTTAACCAGGCATCAACTTTACATTGACTCAAGTACCAGGAAGCTCTGGTATACTGCCATGCGTTTATGAAAAGTCTCGCTTGGAACCAGTAGTTTATCCTTAAAGATCCATTTATATCCTTGTGTCTCAAGTTCCCGACACCGGATCGAGAACAAAAGAACCGCGGCCCGTCAGTCTCACCTCCGCATCCGGAACCATGCACATCACAACCTCATGTACAAGGTCTGCCATGCTTCATTTGGCGAAAGATAAGCGAAGAGGCAGTGTTTCCACAGTTACCAAGGTCTAGCCAAGTAATGACATAAGAATTGCACTTGCGTGGGAGTATAAGAAGCAGGAGTTGTCATCAGAGTGATCCCTTGGTTTGAAGCTTTCTAGAAGCTGCAGTTACGACCTTTCAGACTGTCTACCTATCGAATGAATTGATCTTGGAAAACTCTCTAAACAATCAGTAAGGAACGCTTAAAGCGTCATCGTTACTCATCTCTATCGCTGATGTTAGCCTGAGACATAGCATCACCACCTGCAAACGGCACTGCTCACAATGTTCGCTAAGACGGTTATTATCTTGCTGGCATCCTTATCACAGGGAAAAGAAATCTTGAAGAGGCGTCACGATGAATCAACACCCATCATAGATGAATTCCCATGGTCTTCTTTCCTCAACAAAACAGGCATCGATCCGCTCCAGTATCTCAAACCTCCATCTGACGACACACCCGAGACACTCGTCTGCACTACGGCAAGATCTCCAATCTCAGACATTCAACGTCACTAACCATGATCAGGAACCCGGTCCCGATCGAATCGCCTGCCCAGTCGCCATAGCTGCCTGGTCAAACTTCA